TTGCTCATCCTTTCTTGGAGAACCTAGAACCACCAGCCCAGGGATGACCCTGCCCCACCATGGGTTGGGCCCGCCCCCATTAATCACTAATTAAGAAAATGCCTCCGAGCTAGATCTTGATGAGGCATTTTCTCAATTCAAGTTCCCTCCTTTCTGATAATTCTGGTTTGTGTTTCAAGTTGACGTAAGACTAGCCAGCACACGGTACTCATTTGAAATTCTCCTGCAGAAGTTTTCTTTTGCTGTCAGTGGGGATGCAATTGTGGGGACACAAAACTTCCCACTGGAGCCATTTTAAGTTTTATGTCCCAGACACAGTGAGTATGGACACCCAGTTGTGTGCTAGTACAGCCTTCTCCAGGTGCTGTAATCTCCCCTAGCATTTAGCAATGCTGAGCCTGGTGGAGTAATTGTCCCTAGTGGTTAAGGATGCTGAGTCTATTCCCATGTGTTCATTAGGCAGATGCATATCTTATGTGAAGAAATATTTTCAAGTCCTCTGCCCACTTTTCAATCAGGACACTAGTGTTTCACTGCTATGTTGTAACTGTTGACCCTCCAGAGAGTCATAATTATGCTTGTGACCACTCAGCTCTATGAGCCTACATGATCTTCATGCACTACATTTGAAGGCATCATCAGGTGTGTTCCTTCTGTGACATTGATTCAAAACAGAAAGACCTTTGTAAAGGTTGGGGCAATCTGTTATCTCGTGTCCTTATACAAAAGAGAACTCTTTATTTTTATTACTTACAGCAAACAATTTTCTTTTAGAAACCAGCTTGTGAAAAATCTGAATTAAAATGGGATCCAGCAGAACTAGGCCCGGCCACCTCAGGCCCAGATCTAACATTTCCAGCTCTCTTTGCCTAGCTGCATGCTTGAGGTAACATTTTTCACAGACTAAATCAGTGTGTGTGTGCTGTGTCCACATTCACAACTATTTCTGTACTTGGTTGAAAGTTCTCAGAATGACTCTCAGACTGTCTTGTTTACAAAAACACCAGATAAATATACACAAATGCTAGTTGTTTTCCTTTTTTTTTTAAAGGTTATATTTGGTGTTAAACGGAGGACAAAGAAGACACAGACTTTAGCCTCACAGCAGCATTTGCTCCCACCCACTGCCCCACGGAAGAGCCACCACTGTGTGCTCATTGACTATGTAATTTGAGAGGAGAGGTGAGAAAGAATGTGGATTTTTCTATTTGTGACATTTTTGTGGTGGCACAGATATTTTCATGAAATCTAGCCATGAAATTTCTCCTCCTCTGAAAAGATAACACATGCGGAATTATTTTAAAGAGTAAACCATTTAACTAACTGCCCGTGTGTGTGCCAAATAAAACCACACTCAACTGTTTGAAACTGGCTTAGTTGGCTGACATGGGGCCAGTAAATTTTAATATGTTTCCATGATATTCAGCTATTTCTACATCAACAAAGTGAACCATATTCCTTAAAAAATGCCCCGGAGGATGGAGTCATGTTTATAGAAACATTCAGTAAAATGTTGCTTTGTAAATGTCCTAAAATCACTTTCATATGTTATCATTTATTTAATCCCAAGGAGATTGTAAGCAATTCACAAGAGCTGTTTTTAATCCTCCTTTATTGCAAAATATAATGGTCTATGTAAAGTGCAGGCTGAACAGATACAGCTGGCAGATTGACCTGGCACTTGACAAAACTTACTCAAAACCCAAAAGTTGGGCGGGAGGAAAGGAACCTTAAACATTTGTAGCATCTCCGTTAGGTAACCAGTCATAATGCATTCCAAAGGTTTGAGATGGAATGGTCAGTGAACCTCAGTGTTCTGAGGTCTTAGCTTTCCAAACTGCTCTTTCATTTGCCGGCCAGCTAAGGAGATCCATGTTCGTCATCAGCCTGTGGCAGACAGCTCTACTTGCCCATGTGTTCTTTCTGAGCTGTGCTTGAAGCATTGTTTTAAAGCAGGAAAAAGCCCATTTAAAGGCTGGAACAATCCATTCTCACTTATACACTGGAGAGAGAACTCTTCATCAACAAAATGAAATATATATTACAATATTCCAGGATGTCACTTTGCAGGATGGTAGCTCCCACCTAAGTGTGACTGTTTAGTATCTGAAATATACAATCCAAGATGATTTGCACCATGTATACCAGGTCCACATCAGGCAAAATGTATCAATGATTTGAAAATAATTATGCAGCGTTGAAACCTAAAACTTTGGTTATGTTGGACTAGATAAAACATTTGTTATTTAATCATCTTCTAGTTCCCCTTTTCTTTATAATTACAGGGCTGCTAGGTGTTTTGGAATGAAGGATGTGAATCACAGTAAATTTTGCTCTGGTGGAGTTCCCCACCCTAACCCTGTTAACATCTAGGGACAGGTAATTCTTTGTTGTGCTCTGTAGGTAGAAGTTTCACCTCCTTCTGTTAGGAAAACTCAGGATGTCTCCAGACTTTTCTCAGTGTCCTGGGCTGCATACTGAAGGGTGAGAAATAGTTTTGTAGAGTCACTTGCTACTGTGGTTTGCTTTGTACCTGTATCAAGGTTAGGTGCTCTCCATGCTCTCCATCTCTCTCTCTCTCTGTGTTGATTATTTCATCTAATAGATCACATGTATTTGTGGAAACTAGTTTTTAGCCTCACCATACACACACACACACACACACACACACACACACACACACACACACACACACACACGCTGGTCCCTGTTCAGTGGGAAGTGAGCAATTGCTCTTTAACCTGTGAATGTTTTCAGTGCTGGTGTCCACAGCAGTGTTTACTGCAGGATGTCACCAAAGGGGGAAAGGGAGCCATGGCTTATACGTTAGTCTGTACAAATTGTGACATCTGAAACTCCATGTCAGTTGTGATGTTTATATATACCCAAGCAAAACTCCAAGTCAATCAATCATACAACACTCGCTGCAGGGGCAAAGTCAGTGTCCTAACTGGGAAAGTGTAGAACAGCCGGGACCTCCTGCCTTTCAACAGAACAAAGAGGCTCTTGCAGAAGCTCACTAATTTTAGATGAAATAGTTTCTTATTTTGGTCACAGCTGTTGACATTCCAAGGGCCTCTTATTCTGCCTGATGAAGTGAGGAGGCTCTGCCAGAGGTTTGGTCCTGTCTGAGGATTTGGTGACATCATTTTGAGACTTTCTAGCTGTCAGGAGTATGCTTTATGTATAGTGGATAACTGTTGTTAATGGTTCGCATGACTAAGGATTCTCAAGCTTACTTTAAAGTTGGTTCTTAGAGAATTCCCTCTTTATGGGAGAGCTTGCCCCAACTGAAGTGGAGAGATCACTTTTCTGGACAGCATCCAATGTCACTGGCCATCTAAAACCGGAACATGCCAAGGGACATAGCAAGACTCTCTGGCCCCATGGATGTCCCACCAGCCCTTTCCTTCCCTTTCGAGCATTTCAATGACTTTGTCACAGTTTACATGGTTTCAGGGTGGTGTTGCCCTGAATAGCAGTGTCATGATGCACTTGTAGCTTCAGAAAGACCCTCCATCTGCATATACATAGATTTCACATAGCTCTGTCAGAGGCCCCACCTGCTCCAGGTGGTAATAGATGGTGACTCCTTTAAGTTCCTTTTGGATTACTCCTCAGTAAGAGGAAGCCTCTCCAGGAGGGGATTTCATCACTGACTATTTGATTAATATACCTGAAGAACTGTGGTAAAACTCAGTTAAATTTAGCTCTTATACTCCTTCCTTCTCCCTCTTTTCCCCTCCCTCCCTCCCTCCACCCTCTATAAATATATATGTGTATATATATATGTATATATATATATCGTGTGTGTGTGTGTGTGTGCATTTTTTTAAAGATCAATCTTCTACTCTCCCCAAAGCTAGATTCTTTGGGTTACTAGCACTCTCTTCTGGGAGATATGCTAGTTCCCATCTTGTTAGCTTGCACGCTGGGCTTTTACAGACAACATTTGTTACCAGGACTTTAAGTTTAGCTCTCTCACTGCTGGCCTCTGGTGACTCCCCTTGCTACCTGTGAAGAAAAGTCTCGGGAAAAGCAATATGCAGAGTGAAGCCATCTTGACCAGGCCTTCAGAGTCTGGCAGTTGTCCCTCTGGTTGCAAACTTCGGGATAGCTGTTTTTGCTGGTGGACTGTGTGTGCCGCAAGGGAAGGGGCATGTCCGGTGAGTCAGTGTGCGCCAACACTGGGATATGCTGTCCCCTGTTGGGGGTGGGGAGTGAACAGTTGCTATCTGACTATTCAGCTTTTCCAGTTGTCCACACCACTGTTCCCTGTATAGTTAGTCCATTGTATAACTTTTTAGTTTCTCAGGAAGCAGCACGTTTATCGTGATATTGGAAAAGCAGAAAACCAACAGAGGCAAACTAGACACATAGATTGCAAGTGTCTTACTTCCAGAACGTGTTGCTAACAGACTACATTGCCATTGTCCAGGCATGGTCTTGAGAAAGACGGAAAAACACAATGGTGAGTTCTGTCACTGACCTGCATCATTAGAGTTCTTGTCTTTACCTTCTGATTAAAAACAAAAACAAAAACAAAAAAAAACTTGGAAGCGATGTTCTGGGTTTATTGAAAGAAAACTTATACCCCTCCCTCCCACCAAAGGTCACCATCTTTACTGCCCTTTAGCTACTTGAGTAAAGTGGTATGAAAGCATTGGGAAATAGTGAGATTGGAAACTAAATTAAGGGGCCTTTGTGCTAGGCAGGCTATAGATCGGTTGTGGTCTGAGACTGGTCATCAGTCCAGTGCGCTTGGAAGTCACTTAACTACTTGGCTGTGTGAAACACAATTTTGTGTAATTTTAATGTTTTGACCAATATTAACCTGTAACTGCCAATGTAAGTTTAAATAATAGGGTTATAGCAACACAGAACTATTTTACTTCAAATATCAGTAAATTATAGCGTATTCTTTTTCTTTTTCTTTTTTCTTTTTCAAAACAGGGTTTCTTTGTGTAGCCCTGGCTATCCTGGAACTCACAACCAGGCTGGTCTCGAACTCACTGAGATCTGCCTCCAAAGTGCTGGGATTAAAGGTGTGTGCTACCATGGCTCAACATCTACAGCATATTCTTTAAGCAAGCAAATAAGCAATTTAAAAGCAGCCATCTGTTATGATTATATAGCACCTATCATTTTTCTGGGTTCTTCTCAGTCTCTACAAGACTATCATTTTTTTTCTTATCAAACAAAAGTTGATTCATCAAGTACATCTGCATGATGAAAGCATCTTCTGGGGGTTGAACTGATCGTCTGAACTTTCAACTCTCCTTTGCACTGCCATGGATCACTTCCTGGATGGGAGGCTCCCCTCCCCCCCCACTTTGCATCTGAGCAGCGTGCAGTTTCCAGTTCCCTATGGTGATGTGAAGGCCAATCTGAGCACACAGCTGACCCACCAATATCACAGTACCAACATCAATTTCATAACTGTAAGAACTTTTGTTGTCTCTGCTCCCTGTTGTATAACAGTGCCTGGCATAATTGTTCAGTAATAATTTTTTTAAATAATGATTGTTTTAACCCATAGTGGTTGTTTGTATTAGTTAGGTCTATCTAGAAAACGCAGATAACAGTTTATTCTGGCACTATTGAAGAATTTTGGGAATGCTTAAGGTTAGGGACTTAGGCATTCCTTTTTAGCACACTGATTTTGTTGGATTTTAGAACAATATTTTATAAATTACCAAATTTCCATTGTGTTTACTTTTGCATCAGTGTGGATCTGGCCTATGATTCTTCACTCCAAAGAATGTTGCAATCAAAGAAAGAATAAGGAAACACCTATCACAAGGGGTGGTTAGATAGAACTTTCTGTCCCAGGTAGTGAGCTAGGAAAAGAAAGAGAGATGCTACATGGAAGACCCAATGTCTTATTGGGCATGAACTCTGTCCTTAGGGTTTATAAGGTGAGAAGAAGCTGATTTGGATAATCATCTATCTATCTATCTATCTATCTATCTATCTATCTATCTATCTATGATTTATCTATCTATCTACCTATCTATCTGTCTGTCTATCTATCTGTCACCGTCTATCAACAAGAAGGTCAAGCTTAGTCTCCTTCACTGATTTTATATGTATTTTTATGTATGATATTTTATATGCCACCTAGTATATAATTATAAGTAAGGGTATTGAGGGTTTTTTTTGTTTTAGTATGAAGTACAATTAGAGTCTATTAAAAGAGACTTTAATATACATTTTAGACACCAGGGCTAAGTAAGAGAAACAGACACTTGGGAAGAAAGTAAGGAAAGTCAAGAGTAATATTTATACATAGATTTTTTTTAAGTTACTGACTTCAAAGAGATGCTAAAGAATTTCAATGTGGTTACGGGGTGGGTCCTGAGGTATAGCTGATGGGATTATAGTTTATATACTAGAACTCTAGGTTATAGAGATACAAGAATTTAGCATATTTTCTGTGAACAAATTATCCTTAATTGTGAGATTCCTAAAATCATCTAAAAGACGAGTGACAGGTCCTATACACATAACCATAAGCCTGATGTATTGTTACTTTAACACTCTTAACATAAATATTATCACCAACAATCTTAACCAGCTGTGGACACTGTGAACTACAGTATGACTGGTGTGGAAAGACATGCCCATGGCTGCAACAGTGGCATGACTATTATGGGGTAACCAATTGCTTTCTGATTGCACTTAAAATCCAATCCACAGGAAGAAACTCGTTGAAGGAGGCTAACCGCTCTAGAGTCAGTTGAGCATGCGCATTAGTAACTTCCCTATGAGCCAAACAGAAGTCTGCTGCAAGGCCTAGAGATCGCTGAGATCTTGATGACTTGGATCCAATGAGAGAGAGACAACACAGCATTCCAGATGGCACCACCCCTGGCTCCCAGGAAGGGGTATAAGAGGCCTGCCCATACCCTCAATAAAGGAGTTGGCATTTACTTTTCCCCTGGCTCCCAGAGTCTGCACCATTGATTCCGTGCCTTCTCGTTCCCACCCCCAAGAGGCTTCCTGGTTGGACTTGCCCCTGAAACAGAAACTCATGCTCAGAACTGTAAATTTGGCCAAGAACACTTGGTTGGGGAGTTCACTCTTGTTCTACTAAATGAAAATAATATAAGACTACCTTCTAAATCCATATTTCTATACCCATAGATTGGTGCAGCTCTCAGACTTTATCAGAAATACATCTTTATTTCTGGATGGATGGTGGTTAATGCAGAAACTCAAAACTGGTCAAAGTGCAGAGAGTAAGTGTCAGTAGAATGCTCAGGCACAAATGGGAAACTCAAGGATCAGGGACCATGTTGGAAAAGAGGGAGGAATGACTCTTAAGAATCAGGGTTTGGGGAGGATGGGAGTGAAATAATGCCTTTTCCACGGGACTGGACTTCTGTTCTCATTGATTAACAGCGGCTGTTTGCCCACACAAGACTTGTACAAGATCAAGCCAGTCGACATTCAAGCATGGAGAATGGAGGACTTCATGAGCCTTTCTTCTCCTAATAAAGGAGCTATTGATGGTGATAGCTTCTGGTGGAAAGAAAGTCAGTTTTTTGTTAAAGGTGTGAATCCTCGAAGGTCAATCCTGAGATGACCCCATGCCCACGAGTAGACATACAAGCAGCACCAACTGGACTCAACTGGTCATTTTAAAAGAGGGGGTGTTGAGAATGTGGGGGTGGCTCTGGGAAGAGTAATAGAGCAGAGTGGAGGGTGAAGAAGATGAAAAGGCATCATATGAAATTCTCAAAAGAATTGATAAAAATATTATATGGATAAACAAATATGCCCATGTTGGCAACAGTCAAATAATGTTTATCTTGGCTTCAGTGGGACTTCAGAGGGGGTTCCCTTTCCCTCTCCCCACAATAGCTCTGTTTTTTATACTGTCTCAGATAGTACAACTAACAGTTTTAGTTTAGAGGACACCAACGTGCTGGAGCACTCTCCGCTTTGCACTTTAGAAGGCTTCTGTATTACAAGGGGACCATAACTGCATTTAGCATTTAAGGTCCCAGTGCTGCTTTGTATCATTACACAGAAATCTCTTGAAGCACAAAATAGACCAGCAGGGCTACAACACTATTAGACCTTTTGCAATCTGGGTATTGCAGACCACATACATACCCATTTGCAGAAGTCTTGTGCACAGTAAGAAAATGTTCATGTCTTCAAGGCAGGCAGAGATAGACCAGGGCTTCATACAGCACAACTGTCCAACTGGTGGGTCTCCCATACAAATGCTACAAATTAAAAATAGCAGAAATATCAGGATTTCATTGGTCATTATGACATTTTGTGTGAAAGAGAGTATGTATTGGCTATGTGGCATGCAAACTTACACACCTTTAACTCTGTAAACTTTTGCAAAACTTGGTGAGAGCAGAGAAGGACATAGAGAAGGCTGAAGGAGTGTGGAGATGAGTGTGGAGTAGAGTCATGGGCTTTTGTCCTTTCTTCAGTTACTTTCTGCAGGATGATGAACTCCAAAAAAAAAAAAAAAAAAAACAGGCCATGTTGATAAAACCTGTACAGCGATTTTACAGATGGAAGACATAATCTAGCAAACGAGGATCGTCACAGGCCCTTACCCAGACAGTGTGGCGCTGAACTTCTGGGAAGTGTTGGAGAATTTATGCCATTCCACACACTGGTAAATGGTCCCACTGTCTAGCTCCCGTTACAAGTGGTTGGTAACACTGAATAAACCATCCTCGTTTTTTTTCACAATGGGACTAGTGACAGTGCATTTAGTAGTCTTTTGGAAATGGGGATACCTTGGGACATGCTTCTTGAACTTTATGCTAGTGGCTTCTGGATAGAATCTGTCTGACTTGCATACCGAATGCTTCTCTTCACCGTGGCTTCACCACACACAGTCTAATGGCAGAATAAGCCAGCAAGTGGCTTTTCACACTGCTGTGTTCAGCTGCTGACCCGGGGCCTCGGCTGCAGACACAGTCTCTGTCTTTGTCTTGCTGGGTCAGCTGTGGTCTCAGGTGAGCCTCCCACACCTTTATTGACTTCTTATCAGTTACTAGCTATTTAGACCCGGAAAATGGAGAAAACTTCCTTTAATCCTTAGAATTCATAACACTGATCGTATCTTTGCCACCACTATTTTGCAGATGAGGAAATGGGCTCAGAACTGTCAATACAATTACCCTATGTCTACAGCCTAATAAATAACTAGCACGACCTTTAAATCCAGGAGTTCCAACTTCACAGTGTGGCATTTTAATGGTAGGATAAGCTGCCCAAAAGCTGTGATATTGTTGGGTCTATCCTTTTTTTTTTTTATCTCTCTGACGTAACTGTGAGATTCCCAGGAACAAAATGGATCGTGTGTATTTGTCTGCTTCCCACAGGATCCCTAACAGATGAGCACCTTGAACGAACTGGGTGCCCAAGAAAGACATGGAGAAGGCCATGCTTGCTTTGTTGACATTTGGAAGGCTGTGTGTGGTTAGAAGTGACCCCAGGTCCCTCTGCGTCTTACTGGCTTGGTTGTGTTTGTGCAAATATTTTATTTTTGCAAATTAAAAAATGCAGACCGGTAAGAAGAAACTAACTGGCACGCCCAATGATTGATTTCATGCTTTGGTTTCAGTAATTTTAACTGGCCTCCCTCTTGCTTCTGCCCTCCCCCATCATGGTGAGGACAGTGAGGCCAGATGGGGGCAGTGGGCTCCTGAGAGAATCTTGTGCCAGTGATAAGCCTGAGTGCTATCCTAGAAGGGAACATGCAGTGTAGCTATTCTTCCAGAGTGGAGATCATAGCTGCTAGAACCCCAGGCGAGCTGGACTCAAATCCATGTTCCCCTTGAGGTCAAAGCCAGATAGGTAGAAATCAGGAGTCATCTGGGTTGGTGCTCAGTGGCCTTTCCCATTCTGGGCTCCTGCTAGTGAGACCCTGGGACCGTCTAAAGATGAATGTGTGTATTGATTTAATGAACAGATTGCCCATATCACTCACCATGTTGTACAAGTCTCCTACGTGCTCACCAGGGCGCATTACTACCCCCAAGGGAGATGCCTATTCATGCATGTACCGAGTTCTACTGCTTCTGTGGCTATGGGTCTAAGTGAGTGAGTGAGGCTAAGGTCCTTTGTGTGGATGCAACTTTTCCCCATAGGCATGTCATGGCTCCCGAGTTATTTTCATTTGCAGTTGGAACTCTATTTAGACCCCCAAGTCTAAGATGGAAAACTCTGTTGGCATCTATGGCCCTCAACAAACCTTTAGTTGAATGGGGGAGTCCTTGTTTGTGGGGTTTCTCCAGCACATGCAGGGAAGAAAGAGGATGGAGGAGGTTTTGTGTAATTTCCAGTTCCTGGTTATCATGCCTAAACAGTACTAATTTTATCTTAATCACTACCAACATTGTCTGAATTTCATAACATCATACTTTAAAGTTAAGGAAATTTAGATGGTTTCTATCATATAATGGTGAACAATGGAACAGCTTTTCTAATCACACGAGGCACCTAGGCATGCACAAACTGGAAATAGGATAGATTTTAGTGGATGGATTTTTGTCAACAAAATTAATTTGTCCTTTAACCCAAAGATCATTTTGTCTCCATTCTTGAATGTCTGGCTCAAGGGAATTTTTTTTCCATGATAAAATGCACTTTGGATTGGAATTTGATGCTGACTGGTGACCACGGTAAACTGGGAAGGTTAACAAACACAAAGGGGTTGTTCATTGACTCATTCTGTGCATCAGAACAATGGATAGCATTTGGAATTTCAGTGTTCCCACCCACCGAGCAGAGGGATGGGGAGTGCCATGTGTGTTACCTTTATTTCCTGCCCAGTGCTTCGGTCAGTGCGTCTGAGCTGTGGGCATGTCTATGACAAAAATACACCTGTTGAAGAAAACAAAAGACTGGATTTCAAAATGATTTTGCTAATTGCTTCTAGCATTCAGTAGTCTCTCAATCTTTCATTTGGAAAACCATGACTGACATAGTTAGGAGACTATGTGGAGTAATGTTCTTGGCTTCATGGAAATCATTTCCCATCCTCTGCCCTCGTTAGCTGGTGGGGTGTTGGCTTATTACTCATTCTCTTTCATTATCACCCCCCCTTTAAATGAATGACCCAGGGAGGGGCTATCTTATTATAAAAACCCCAGACACAGCTTCGAGTCAGGTGCCACATAGCCATGATCTACAGTGTGAGTGCCTGTAAATCCCATGACTACCTGGGCAGAAACACACTACACGGAGGCACAGGAGCCTTCCAAAAATAAGTAGATGTGGCTAGCTCTAACTGGGTGTGTGTTTCTGAGGTTTGTGGGAGCCCCTTGGTGGAGATGGTGAAAGTGAGAGCCTGAGCCAGCACACCCTGCCTCCTTCCTCTCCAACTCTGTGTTAAAACAGTCTGAGGCTTGGCCATGAGCTGTCTTTGTCCATTCTCTTGTTCAGTGAGCTACTGCTTATTTTGTGTACTTTTAAAAAAGAGAAAATATTTTGTAAACAGTGCCCGATGGAGTGTCATTTTAAAGCCTCACACAGATTCACTTTATAGGAATCAGCTGTAGTTAAACCTGACCTGGCTTTTCTCCTTTCCCTGCCTTAGCAGAGACCCCGGGCCTCAACCTCTGCTGTGTTAGTGGGAGAAATTCCCACCTGGGTTTTCTCACAGTCATGCGTGCTGATATAGTTAATGTCTCCAATTCTGGTGGAGCTGGAAATCACCATTTGTTTCATAGTTAGAAAAAAGCTAATAAATCTGGCGGGTTTCTTTTCTCTTTGAGAGTAGAGAGTGTTGAAAAGAGAGACTCCATTGCAATTAGATTGTAAATTTTGGGCGATTGTTCTGTCTATTGGATTTTAGTTTCAGCGGAAGCGATCATGTCTGCATTGTCTGTGGTGAGCGAGGCCTGTGGTTCCATGTGGCAGCATACCTCTGGACAGCAAACACAATTTCTCTTGCTGCAGCCTGAGGCTCACAGTCTTCCCAGCTCTAAGAACAAGAACATGGACGGAAGAGCACTGAGGTCAGAAAAGTCTCTGGAGATTCTCTAGACGGCCACACATTAATTGTGTCTTTCTAAATGGTAGTGGCCTCTTGTGGGGTGAACTCGAGAACAGGCCGTCACTAACCTGCAAGGATGGGCTTTGATTGCACAACCCTGATGGCCAGGGGACGTTCAAAAGAAACACAGCCCTTGAAGGACTTGAGCAAACTGGTTCCCTTGGGAAAGCCAAGATTGAACATAAAAGTTATGATATTTAATTAACTTTAAGGTACAGGTAATTCTCAACTTCCTGGCCTTTTTTTCACACCACGGTGCGCGTGGGAATAATAAACTTGGAGAGTTTGGGGCAAATGTGGAAGTAGCTGGGAGTTAACCCCTACGTGAGATTGGTGAAAGCAGACTTTAGATACTGTGTAATTATGAGAAGATTCCAAAGGGTCTTTTCACACATTTTAACGAGAAATCTGAAATTCTTTTTGGGACATAACGCTTTACAATTATGCTTGAAGTGGCCCCCTGCCATCCCTAATGAAGACATTGTAACACAGGTCTCTTCAGTCTTGAGAGCCACTAGTAGTGGGAAGACTGTTTGCAAGTGATGTGTTACAAAACGAACAACTCTTTCTCTTCCTGACCATTTTAATGTAACTTTAAAATTTATCAAAAGCGGTGATGCTCTGACCTGTAGCAATCTTGTGGGGTTGGTTTGTTTTTCTTTCTTTCTTTTTCCATTTGCTTGTTTGTTTTTCAAGGCAGGGTGTCTGGTGTAGCTTTGGCTGTTCTGAAAATTGCTCTGTAGACCAGGCTGGCCTCGAACACTGAGAGATCTGCCTTACTCTGCCTCCTGAGTGCTGGGATTAAAGGTGTGCACCACCACAGCCTGGTGGTTTATTGTTCAGTAACTTTTTTAAAAAGTTTTATAAAAAGAGACTTATTTATCTTGTTTATATGTGTGTGGCTGAGTGTATGTGTGTGCACCATCGTGTGCATTCAGGTGCTGGTGGAAGTCCGGGGAACTGCCTTGGATTCTCTGGAATCTGACTTGGGTCCTGTATAGGAGCAGGAAGTGCTCTCACACTTAGTCCCTGGGTCTATTCTGAACTAGGATTTGAATCTGCAGTACCTCTCAATATGGCATCCAATATTGTCTTTTGTTTGTGGCTATTCACCTGTCTCAGCACCATTCGTTGAGAGGTTGCTCCTTCTCTGTTGAAGCTGAGGGCTCCTGGCTTAGGTCTGGATGTCAATTCTCGTCCTTTATCTTGTGTGTTTGTTCTTGGACTAGTGTTCGCTGTCCCCCAAATTGTGACTTCACAGTAAGCTTTGGAATTGGAAAGTGTGCTCTCTTCAGCTTTGTTTCTTTGGACAGTATCGCTTTGGATCTTCAGGGTCCCGACAATTCCATGTGAATTTGAGCTTCAAATTGTCATTCTGAAAAGGAGGTTGTTGGATTTTCACCAGAAGTCACACCAAGTCTGCAGTACAGGTTGGCTAGGATCTCCATCCATGAATGTGGGATAGCTTCTCTTACTTCTTTCAGCAAGGCTTGTAGTTTCCATCATTGATGAAATTCATTCATAAGCAGCCTGACGATACTATGATACTATACTATAGGTGGAATTGTTTCCTTTTTAAAAGTTTTTAGTCATATTTACCCCTCCCCCAGTTCTTCCTACCAGATCCGCCCCCCTCTCTCTCTCTCTCTGTGTGTGTGTGTGTGTGTGTGTGTGTGTGTGTGTGTGTGTGTGTGTGTGTGTTAGGCCACAACTTCTGGGTCTGGGGCCTGCTCTGGAATGTGGTTGCTATACCAGGGCTCACATCATTAACAAATAACAACCCTCCCTCTCCCAGATGTAATGAAATGCCAATAGCTCTTCAGCTGGGGGTGAGACTTCCTTCCCACCTTCCTGGAATTGTTTCCTTAGTTTCTTTCTGATTCTTTATTGCGGATGTGTAGAAACTTCTGTAATGAGCTGACTTGTGCCCAGTAACTGGACTGCATTTGCAAACCTTGGCGATTCTTTTTGGATGTAGGCTATGATGGTTTCCATGTGTAGAAACAAACCATCTACAGACAGAAGTCATTTTGCCTGTTCCTTTCCAATTTGGATGCCTTTAACTTCTTTTTTCTTGCCTAATAATTCTGGCTAGGGCTTCCAGTACAATGCTGAATGGTAGTATTGAGAGCAGGAATCTTTATCTCATTCCTGATCTTTGGGGGAAATCTCTGTCTTTCACTGTTTAGGAGGGTTTGGCTGGCTTTATATACAGGCTGAGGTTTTCATCTTGTTGAGGGAGTTCACTACATTCCCTCTTGCAGAATGCATTTATATGTAGAACTACTGATTGACTTTTGTTCAATGGGGGATTTTGTGTTTGCGTCCTATGAGATAATCTTGTGTTTCTACTCTTATCCTGCTAACATAATATGTTGACACCCCTACATTCCTCGGGTAACTCAGTCAGTCACAGGCTTTCATATGTGTAGTGTACTATTGAATTTAGTCCATTAATACTCTTGAAGACTTTTTTTCTAAAAATCTGTATTTCTAAGAATAGTTTTTCTTTCTAGTTTTCTTGTGGTGTCTTTGTCTAGGTTTAGTATTAATCTGGAATTTGTCCCTTTTCTGTTAGAACGAATTGAGTTGGGTTGGCATCGTTCCTCCTTTGATTATTTGGTAGATTTCATTTATTTCCAGAACTAATTTTATTGGTAGAGTTTTAAAATTTCCTTATTAAAAATTAAATATAAATTTAAGATTTCAAGTAATAATGAATTAAATAGCTGTGCATAGTGTACAGTGTTTTAAAATGTGTACACATTATGGATGTCTCAATCAAGCTAATTGACATGTTTATTACCTTCACATACTTATCACTCTTAGGGATTTATATGTGAGAAACAAATACATTTTCTTCATAATTAGAGCATGGGGACTCAATAGTGAAAGTATTTTGCAATTTTGAGACGTCGGACATCAGCCCACAAAGGCAGGCAAGCTAATTGAATACAGAGAGAATGTCCAAGCCCTACCATGACCCCTTCCCACTCTCTTCTTTGACTAAGTGATGAGAGGGTTCAGTCTTCCACATAGCCTAGGTCTTGCCCTCCCCTTTGCCTCTTACATGTGTTCTACCCTTGACAAACTTTAGAGGAGTTCATTTCTACATCCTCTATCCTGTGTATTTTAAAGTTGGTCATGTCTTCAGGTCATCAGGAAAGCTTGGTTGTTAATAATTTTTAATTCTAATTGTCTAGTTGGGGGGCGCAGAATAGCTAGACTAGCAGGCATTAGCAGGGGTCTGAGTTTTTTTTTTGTTTTTGTTTTTGTATTTGTAGCTGGATCCAGGCTGGCTTAAGTAAACCATCAGATTTAATTTCCTGCCTGTATGTTGTCATTAACTATAATAATTGTAAAGCTCTTGAAGTGATCCTTTCTGTGTAAATGAACTTTTATCCCATTTGACCAACATCTTGCCTACACCATGCCCAGCTCTTGGTAACTGACATTCTACTCTCTGTCTCTGTGAGTTTGGTTTTCTTACATTCCCCATATAAATGAGACTTTGAGTTGCTTCTCCTTGTGCTGGAGTGGGGATGGATAGGTTATATGGTAGCTGCATGTTTAATTTTTTGGGGGCAACTCCACTTAGTTTTCTGCAGTAGCTGCATGGATGTACATTTTTCTCACCAGTACTCGAATGTCCCCCTTCATTCACATCCGTCCCAGGGCTTGTTATCTTTGGGGATCGTATCCCAAAAGGTCTTTATCAGATGAATATACCAGAAACTTCCCCTGGAGAGCTCCGTGCCTGTTAAACTCTCTTTCCTGATATAGGCCTGTTGAGCTATCCCGTGTCTTGAGTCAGCGTGTGTAGTTTCTGTGACTGTGTTATCGTGGCCGTTGCTTTGCTGTGGACACATGCCTGCAGCACTCTCTGATAATGTTTGTAGTTTCTGTAAGGTCAGTAGTCATGTCACTGTCTCGTTTCAGCATTTTTTTTCTTTTTCAAATGCTGCAGATTCACTAACTTTGTTGATTATATAAGAGGCAAATGACTGCTTTGCTTTTCCAATGCTTTTCTGGACTCTATTTTATTTATCTCTGCCTTGGTCTTCCTTTTCCTCCTTCTGTTATCTCTGGATTTCGTTTGTTATGCTTTTTGTCAGTTCCTCAAAATATAAAACCAAGTCACTGATTTGTGATAATTCTGTAAAATAAATATCAATGGCTATGCATTGTCCTGTAATCACTGTTTTAGCAATTCCCCATAAATTTTCATCTGTCATGTGCTTTTTCATCATCTCAAAGTATTTTATATTTATTTCCCAGTGATTTCCGTTTTTTTGTTTTGTTTTTCTTTCTTAATGGCTATTTAACAGTAATAGATACATTTCTGTGTATTGGTGCATTTTCTAATTTCTTTCTGTCATGGATCACTATTTTCTATTCAGTGATGTGATTTAGTTGTATGGTGTAATTTAAAAGTCCACTGGCAATTGGTTTTGGCATAATATTTTGGCAACCCAGAGAGTGTTCTTTGTGCACCTGAATATTTGTTCTACTGTTGTTGAGCGGTGTTCCATGAGTGTCAGTTAAGTTTTGTTGACTCACCATGTTGCTCAAGTCCTGTTGCCTCCTTACTGGGAGTCCCACCAAGCTACACTGGGATTGTGGGCCAAGTGTGCGTGGCTTCCTTCTGCTGGGCTGGCATGAGGTGGTAGCTGGTGTACACAATGTGGAAGCTCACTGGGATTTACTAGCCCTTCTTTAACCAGCCGAATCATTGGATGCTGTGAATGCCTGCCTGGCCTGCGGGGCTCCAGATTATAGATAGTTCTTGCCAACTCAGTGGCTGCTTTGGGGGAGTATGGATACTTGAAGCTGCCCACTCTGCCATTTTGGGAGGTGTACTCCTTCATGGTTTTTTTAAAATTCATTTTATATAAGTCAGTCAGATATTGTTAAAAGGTAGCATTGGCCTTTGGTGAACAAAATGTTCAAAATAAGCAAAGTCAGAAATTATGCCTGATAGATGCTCACGTCTGGTCTGCTGTAATTCCCGCATCCACTGCTACAAACAGGTCATCCATAGGCTACTCTGTGCAACGTTGGACTCCTGGTCTCATGTGTGGCGAGCAGAGGCTCACTCTTGGCTGGTCACTGGCACAGCTGATTTGGTAGTAGACATGTTTCCACTGTGATTAGTGTGCCAGACTTAGCCAGTAAGCTCTGGAGACTGTTCATCATCCATCCCTCATGGGAGCCAAGCAGTCTCACGGCAATATGGGGAGCCTGGCAGACCCTGTCCATCCCACTTGCTGCAAGTTCTTCCTGGGTTCCCTGAATGCCAAGAGATTGATTATGGTCAGTATTAGGCCATCGGTGTGCCCAAAGCATAATCTGAGCAGCTCTGAGGTAGGCAGTAAACTGAAGGAGCTAACCGTGTCATCTCACCTCATGGATAAGTGCCTCTCAGAGCCGAAGACCAGGCGAAGAGCACTCTCTGACCCAGACTGGGGGTTTGTCTCATTTTAAGCCTCGCTCTTCACATCTTGCAAGTGCTGCCTCTATTTCCTCTTTATTGAGGGTTCAAGGATCAGGGTGTCCAGAGGGTTTTGTTGAGCTTTGAGGGCCGAACAGTGTTTGGAGGAGCATGGAGCAGGTGGTGGTGTGTTCCTGGAAGGAGTCCGAGGCTGCTGAAATGGCGCGTGAAAACAAAGCCAGGGAAGAGTGGCCATGATGGCACCTGCTTGGGTGTTCCTCCATCGCAGCGGATTGTTTCAGGTGGTAGTGACTTTGTGTAACATTTTCTTGTTCACCCAACTGTTAAAAGAAGCTTTTTCCTTGCTAGCCGCTTTGGTTTATCCCCCGCCAGTCGCCTGGGCTCTGCCGCGCCAGCCTGGTTCTAGATCCGCATGAGTCCCAAATAAACACACAGGAGGCTATATCCATTATGAAGCTGTTGGCCTTGTTTGTCTCTTACTGGCTAGCTCTGCTTTAAGTAATTACCCCATAATTGTTAATCTAAGTAAGTCTCTTACCGGAGAATAGTTCCAGGCTTCCTACCCCCAATGGCGTTACATGTTGACTCTCTTGTGTTTCCCCTTCCCAGAATCCTCCTCGACTCCTAGCCCCACCTATCTAGATTCCTATTGGCCAGACAGTGCTTTATTAGCATAAGACTTCCCCAACACCCAACTCATGTGGCCTGTTATTTAAAACAGTGCAAAAAACACTGAAGGGGAAAGCAAGGGCCCTGAGGAGAGCCTGAAAATAGGGTTTATCCTGGCAGTGTGTTCTCAGGTAATTTACACGCCTTTTGTGCTTGCATGGAAAGTCTCTTGTGATGTCCCTTTGAGACTTGTAAATTCAGTTCCTTTGTGTAGACAGATTTTTCTTGGGACTGCCATCTTACAAAAACAGCACAGAGACTTATTATTACTCATGAAAGCTCGGCCTTAGCTTGGGCTTGTTTCTTACTAGCTCTTACAACTTAAATTAACCCATAGTTTTAAATCTACTTTCTTCCACACACTTGTTACCTCATCTCCATTTTGCTCACCCTGGTTACTCCACGTGTGGCTG